TAATTTATGTTTAAATTATTATGAAATGGTTCAGAAAGCATTGTATATATGCATATATATGCATATTTATGTGTATAGTATTAGTATTTCCAGGTATTAGACATACAAATGCATTTCAAATAAAATATGATTAATTTATATTTCTACTGCTAATGTAATATTGCTGGCTCAGAAAATAATCTATATGATCATTCCTCCAATTCTTATGCCCCTTTAATATCATCACAAGCTCTTTTAAATATTAAAAAGCACATCTAAATATTCTATGATTCAAACAAAAATCTATACATGAATGTTCATAACAGCATTGTTCATAGCAGCCTCAAAATGAAACAATCTAAATGTCCATAAGCTGATGAGTGGATAAACAAAATGTGGTATATCTATGCAATGGAACATTCATCCATAGAAAAGAATAAGGTACTAATAGATTCAACACCATGTGTAAACCTTTAATACATTATGCTAAGTGAAAGAAGGCAAAAGGCAGCACATATTATATAATTCAATTTATATGAAATGTCTAGAATAGGCAAATTCTAGAGACAGGGAGCACGTCAGTGGTTGCCAGGAACTGGAGGAAGGGAGTGACACGGAGTCACTGCTTAATAGCTAAAGAGTTTCTTTCTGGGGTAATGACAATGTTATGAAAGTAGATTATGCTGATGATTGTACAACTATGTGATTGTATGGCTAGTCAGTGAATTGCCAAATTGGTGAATTTTGTGTTGTGTAAATTATACCTCAATAAAAAATGTATTTTTGGACAGAGATAAAAAATTGCATATTAGATTGAAAGACCTAACAGCCTTTAGAACCCTAACTTCATAATCGCCAGGCTACTTTATAGAAATACTTGTCTTGGGGATGCCTGGGTGGCTCAGCGGTTGAGCATCTGTCCTTGGCTCAGGGCATGATCCCAGGATCCAGGATCGAGTCTCATGTCAGGCACCTGCTTGCGTGGACCCTGCTTCTCCCTCTGCCTGTGTCTCTGCCTTTCTGTCTCTGTGTGTCTCTCATGAATAAATAAATAAGATCTTTAAAAAAAATAAAAAAGAAATCCTTGTCTTGTAAGCAGAGGAGATTTAAAGGTGAGATGACATGATAGAATGTGTTCACTCACTCACTAGCTCGCATAGCTGATGTACTTGATGGTCATGCATTTTAGTTTATAGGAATCATGAAGAATCAAATACAGGGTTTATGTTCTAGTTACTGTGCTAGCTCTTCCCTTGGAAACACAGGATGACAGGCTGCTAAGCAAAAAGCTGAGAAAAATCAAATGTTAGCATCTAAACTGAATGATTTCCCATTCATCTCTGATAAACAAGCCTGAAAAGCAGTGACAACTGAAACTAGCAGGGAGACATTGAAGCTACAAAAACATTGCATATAGACCATGTGCAAGAGAGAGAATTAACAAGAATGATACAAGCCTGCATGAAATTAAATACAATATTAGTAGAAAAAACAAGATAAAATAGTTGTAGAAAATTGTGGTAAACTTCCGATTTAAAATCTAGCTCCATATCAAAACTCTTTGCTCAGACATTATAAAGAGATTTTCTTATTACATTAATATTCAACAAAATGTTTGATTGGAAGAGGAAAGGACTATGCTATAAGTAAACTCCTAGAGAGAAGAGAATTAAAATGAAATTTTACAGTTACCATAGCTATTGAAAGCAATTATCTTTTTAAAATGTTTTTATTTGGGGCACCTGGGTGCCTCAGTCATTAGCTGTCTTTAGCTTATATTTTGACCCTGGGGTCCTGGGATCATGTCCCCTATCCGGCTCCCTGTAGGAAGCCTGCTTCTCCCGCTTCCCCTGCCTCTCTCTGTGTGTCCCTCATGAATAAATAAATAAATATCTTTAAAAATAAATTTAAAAAGGGATCCCTGGGTGGCGCAGCGGTTTGGCGCCTGCCTTTGGCCCAGGGCGCGATCCTGGAGACCCGGGATCGAATCCCACATCGGGCTCCCGGTGCATGGAGCCTGCTTCTCCCTCTGCCTGTGTCTCTGCCTCTCTCTCTCACTGTGTGCCTATCATAAATAAATAATAAAAAAAATAAAATAAAATAAAATAAATAAAAAATAAAAAAATAAATTTAAAAAATAAAAGTTTTTATTTATTTATTTGAGAGAGAGAGAACGATAGTGTGAGAGCAATGTATGTGCTGCATGCCTGTATGTGCACAAGCTGGGGGAGGAGCAGAGGGAGAAAGAAAAGGAGAGAATCTCTAGCAGACTCTGTGCTGTGAGAAGTGCTGTTGTGGGGTTGGATCTCACTACCCCAAGATCATGACCTGAGCCAAAACCAAGAGTTGTTAGCTAATGGACTGAGCCACCCAGGTGCTCTGAAGGCAATTATTTTCAGGACAACAAGGTATTATCATTTTAAATAAGCCTCAAGTTTTTATCAGTTATGTAAATATCTCAGAGAGATGTAAGGAATGTTCTCTAAAACAGATGAATAAATGTTCCCCCGTTAAATCAAGAGGTAAAGGACATTTGCACTATGAAACTGCTCATAATCTTTGTCCAATAATTTTGTACTCAGAAATGTTACCTTAAAATTTAGGACTATGATTCTAACCTTCATATCTCAATATGGTTATACCATGTTATAGATTAATAAGCATGGAAAAATGTCAATATTTTAAAATGACTTAGTTTCGGGATCCCTGGGTGGCGCAGCGGTTTGGCGCCTGCCTTTGGCCCAGGGCGCAATCCTGGTGACCCGGGATCGAATCCCACGTCGGGCTCCCGATGCATGGAGCCTGCTTTTCCCTCTGCCTGTGTCTCTGCCTCTTTCTCTCTCTCTCTCTCTCTCTCTCTCTCTCTCTCTGTGACTATCATAAATAAAAATAAATAAAATAAAATGACTTAGTTTCATATATAAACAAGAGAAGATTCAAAATTATCTCTATACAATGTCACCCTCACAGACTTGCCTTACCACAATGCATTTTTGATTGGAAAGAAAGGATTAGAATAACAAATCATAACATGGAATTTCAAAAACCACTAAGATTTTTTTCATGAATAGCATAATATATAAAATCCATTTCATAAATTTTGAAATGTTTAGACAACTTAATGTTTTTCTTTGATGTCAGTAAAGAAAATTAATAAACTGAAAAGTAGACACATCAATAAACTGAGTCTATGACTACAGAGAGAGATCCCAACTACTATGTAGATTACATACTTTGAATCAGTGTCTTTTCTTAGCCCTTCCACAGCAAAACTACACTATTGCTTGAAAGGTCATGAGTTGTAGTGAAGTGGACATGACTTGATATCAGAATTCAGGCTCCATTATTTACTACCTATGATGTATTGGTCAATGTGTCAATCTTCTTCAGCCTACATTTTGATACAACTAAAATGTATTTCCAGGATTGGTAAGAGTTGATATTATTTTAATAATAATCTTTGAAGAGTTTGGCATATCATTGGCAATTTGAAAAATACATTTATTTTCAAACCTATGCCAATAGAAATAATTAAAAGAGTGGCACCTGGGAAGCTCAGTCAGTTAAGCATCTGCCTTTGGCTCAGGTCATGATCTCAGGGTCCTCGGATCAAGTCCTACATTGGGCTCCCTAATTAGCCGGAACGTCTGCTTCTCTCTCTGCCCCCCCCAATCCTCTCTCTCTCTCTCCCTGAAATAAATAAAATCTTAAAAAGAATTTTAGATGTTACTTCAAAGCCCACTTTTATTTTTATTGATTTTTCAAAATTTATTTATTTATCTGAGAGATGAACAGATGGCACAAATAGGGGAAGGAGCAGAGGAGGTGGGAGATGGAGAGGGAAAGAATCTCAAGCAGACTTGCTGCTCAGTGAGGAGTCCTATGTGGTGCTTGATCTCATGACATTGAGATCACGACCTGAGCTGAAATCAGTAACTGGCTGAGCCATGCAGGAGCCCCTCAGAGCCCACTTTAGAATTTAAAATTTATCTTTTTTTATTTTCTAATTTTTTCCTATTTCTACTGATTACATATTCTTGATCTCTTCTTAAATCATTCACTTAGCCTTGTGTAGATGTGAATAATGGTCTTATTTCATTGTCATTTAAAATTTGGTGTTCCAATTTGCTCTTATGCATTTATTCTAATTTTGTAACATATAATAAGTGACATAATGTTTAGTTTTTAATTAATTAATTATTTATTTTAGAAGGTTTATTTACTTAGAGAGAGAAAGTACTCATGAGTGAGTGCAGGGAGGGGCAGAGGGATAGAATCATGCAGCAGAATCCCTGCTGAGCATGGAGCCCGTTGATGGGCTTGATCTCATGACCTGAGCCAAAACCAAGATTTGGACACTTAACCCACTAAACCACCCAGGTGCCCCTGTTTACATTGGTCTTAAATTAAATGTATGCCTTTTAAGTGAAATTCTGTCATAAATATAAGTAAGTAATACATCTAATCAGCGTTTGTGAAGCTGTTTCCATCTCTTCAATTCTGATTATTCCCAAACTCCCATTGATATCTCTGTTTCCATTTGTTGTTTTCATTTTTTCGACTGCCCTAAAATGCCCTATTTGGTTTAATTTATTTTGATGCATCTTTGCTCTTGCTGTTTTCTATATTGTATTTGGGTCTTCGACTATGCCATTAATTTTGATGACTTTCATTAGGGAAAGAAACTGGTTTTATTACTTTGTAATGTGTCTTCTATAGCACTTATATAGTTTTAATATTATTACTTTCCTTCCTTCCCCAGAACACTGAAGAAAGGATTAGGTCAGAAGTAGCAATAAGTTCAATTGTAGTTTATACTTTAAAGTTTTACAGTGAAAGAAAACACCATGTATGAATTTGGTTTGAAAGAAAAAGGAGTTCGATTAAGATGAGATTAGGATGTATTATTAAATGTCTTTGAGAGGGTTAGTATGATCAAGTTATAAGCAAAGCAATGAAACAAGTTAGAAGCTGTTGTTAAATGTTTAGAGGACTTTCTTCTTTCATTTTACGCTGATTTATCAAAACTTCAGTTCCATTGAGTGAAATGTCATCTTCTTTATGAAGTCATTAAAAGCTTGTTTCACTTGCTTATTTCTCAAAGTGTAAATGAAGGGATTCAACAAGGGTGCAACAGAAGTAGTGAGCACCGAAACACCTTTATTTATGGCTATCTCTTCTTTTGCTGATGGCTTGATATAGATGAAGATGCAGCTTCCATAGGTGATGGAAACTACAATCATGTGGGATGAGCAGGTGGAAAAGGCCTTTTTTCTTTGTTGGACAGAGGGGAATCTCAGAATCGTCCTGATGATGTATGTGTAGGACAGAAATACACACACTAAGGTGATAATGAGTGCAAATACAGCCACAAGGATAACCATTTGCTCTATCATCCATGTATCTGAACATGAGATCTTCAGGAGGGGACCTGCATCACAGCTAAAATGATCAATGGCATTGGAGTCACAGAATTCCAGCTGGAGGCCCAAGCTAAGGGGTGGGAGAATGATCATCAAGCCAGACACCCAACAGCAGAAGACTAATAAGCTACACACCCTATTGCTCATGATGGTCATGTAATGAAGTGGTTTACAGATAGCAACATAGCGATCATAGGACATGGCTGCCAGGAGAAAAAATTCAGTTGCTCCAAAGAGAATAACAAAAAATATTTGACTTGCACAAGCATTGTAGGTAATAGTATTGTCCCCTGTTGATATACTATACAGGAACCTAGGAATGCAGACAGTGGTGAATGACACTTCTAAGAAGGAGAAATTTCTCAGAAAAAAGTACATAGGAGTTTTAAGATGGGAGTTCACCAGTGTGAGGGTGATAATAGTCAGGTTCCCTGTTACGCTCAAGATGTAGGTGAGAAATAGAAAGATAAAGAGCAGGATTTGCAGTTGTGGGTCATCTGTCAGTCCCAGCAGGATAAAAGTTGTTATTGCTGTATAGTTTCTCATCACTGACTTTTGACATCTAACCATCAGCCTATGAAAATAAAAGAGATTTTTGTGGGAAGATCAGTATTAAAATTCTGTAGCAAAACACTGAATACAAAAACCAAGCAAATCAGTCTATTTTCTCATTTCACATCATAATCCATATCACCACTATTCCAACTAGCCTTCTTGAATATTCCACATATGAGCAAATACTCAGGATTCATGTTAATGTAAAACAATCCAACATTTTCTCAGATCATTCTTTCCCCTGAAAATTTACAAATGTACATGTTAATTGTTTGTAATTCATTACATGGATTGGATTTACAAATAAGAGCAAACAAATGATGTTACTTAATGTGTACTTAAATGTTCTTTATCCAAGACAAACCTTGTATATATGTCATATCCAGATGACGAAGAACATGACTTCTCTTCAGTTGTTATTTTCAAAGGATTGTTTTAAAGTTAATATGCATTTTACCTGGAAAACAAACAAACAACAATGATAACAAAACACAGCACTGGATCCTGGGATTTCCCTTTGTCTCTTTATTATTATCTGCTTGTACTCCTTATTCTTAAAGATAGTTTGATATGCAATTATTTTATCTAAAGTGTGATAAAAAGGAATATCTTCATATGCATACACCTGACTTTTTAGTTGTCTGTGGCTCCATTTCTCTCAAAAGCCCTGAAATGAAATCTGTGTTTAATATCAATAAATAGTCTTCCAGGAGATGTGTATCTAGTTTTTTTGAGAGGCTGTGAGGAGGGCTAGAGGGAGAGGCAGAGAATCTGAAGCAGATTTCATGCCTAGCACAGAGCCCCATGTGGGCTTGATCTTAAAATCCTGAGATCAAGATCCGAGCTGAAACCAAGAGGTGGATGCTCAACCAAGGTAACCTACAGGTTATGCATCTTTGATTACATTTTTTATTCCTTTGAAAAGATACTATTATTTCCACCTTCTCATCCTACCCCTACTTAGTTTAGGTCTTAGGGCTCTGCAACTTTATTTTCATGTCCAAACTCCTACTGCTCTAACACCCATAAGAACGTTTTTACTGTTGAATCCATTGGCATATTTTTTGTAGTTATTTTGCCTAATAGCCCCTTCTAATGGATTCCATACCGTAATCCTGATTTTATTCCAGATTCTATCTCTTTTTAGTGTCCTATGGCCTCCTCATCCTCTATTAACCTATGAAGCATTGCTATTCCCCAATATTTTGTCCTGAAACCTCTCTTTTCTCATTTCCTCTTTGTTCTTCTTCTTACTCCATGCTCTCCAAGAAGATTTCACTTGGTGTAATTGATTTCATTGCCATTTATATGATGAATTCCAAAGTCTGGAACTTTTCCAAATAAAAAAAAATTGCTAAGTGTATATCATCAGTTGGACGTTCCACAGACACTTCATACAGCTCAAAATGAAATCATGGTCCTTCTCCAAGCCATCTTCTCTTCTAGTGTTCACTATTTATTTATTTTTTAAATATTTTATTTATTTATGAGAGAGAGAGAAAGAGAGAGAAAGAGAGAGAGAGAGAAAGGCAGTGGGAGAAGCAGGCTCCATGCAGGAAGCCCAATGTGGGACTAAACCCCGGGACCCCAGGATCACACCCGGGGCCAAAGGCAGGCTGTAAACCGCTAAGCCACCCACGCATCCTGTGATCGCTATTTATTGATAAAGATTAGTCTCTTGTATGTGGCCTGCAAGGCTCTTCATGGACAGGGCCTTCCCTATTTGCTCTCCTCATCTCTTACAAATTCCTTAGCTTTCTTTCTCATAACTTAAGTTCCACAAACATTGAGCGCTAAATTCCTCATATTTTTCACATACTGTCTTCTCTGCAAGGGCTAATCTTTGACTAATGGCAATTGGTGCTTCAGAATTCTCCTTAGGTATCAGTCATCCAGGGAAATCTTCATTCATCTTCCCAGAGTACATGAGATTATGATACCGTGTTATTTATAAACAGCTGCTGCTTACTCTCTAGACCACATTGTATGCTTACGTATGCTTATATTTCTCCTCTATGTTCCTATAAACTTCCCCAAAATAGAGGTTATGTTTTTATATATCCTTTATTCCATTACATCTGGCACAAGTAGGTTGTTATGTAAATGCGAACTGAAGAAACAAAAACCTGAGTGGTGAAAAATTAGACAGTAAGACAACCATGAGAAACTCCTAACTCTGGGAAACAAAGGGTTGCAGAGGGGCAGGTGGGTGGGGGCATATGGTAACTGAGTGATGAGCATTAATGAGGACACATGATGAGATGAACACTGGGTGTTGTATTATATGTTGGCAAGTTAAAGCATATATTAAAACAAAACAAAATTAAAATTAAAAACAAAACAAAAACAAAAATTAAAAATAAAATAAAAACAAAAGAGGTGTGGTTTATGTACTGAGACGAAGCTATATTCTTTAATGCCTATTCTGGCCAGGTGGTTCAGCACTCTTATTTTTTATATCTGTTTCATATTGCACCGTCATTTTGAGTACACCCCTACATAAAAATCCAAATTCTAAACTGGAAATCCTTTTCCAGACTTCTTTTTTTAGCTTACGAGCTAGTTTCTACTTTAATATTTTAATTCTCCATTTGTTGTTATTGATTCCTTGTGGATTTTTTCTAGTAATCTCTCTCCTGCACCTCTTGCTTCTTGGGTACTTAGTTTTTTTTCCATTGTCCAGAATTTGCTCCCCATTCAATATTTCTTAGAGACTACAGTTCTGGGTTTTTTTGTTGTTGTTTTTGGTGTTTTTGCCTGTTTGTTTTCTTTTGTTTTGCTTTGCTTTCTTTTGTTCTGGGATTTTTTTTTTTGTTTTCGGTATTTTTTTAATAATAAATTTATTTTTTATTGGTGTTCAATTTGACAACATACAGAATAACACCCAGTGCTCATCCCGTCAAGTGCCCCCCTCAATGCCCATCACCCATTCACCCCCACCCCCTGCTCTCCTCCCCTTCCACCACCCCTAGTTCGTTTCCCAGAGTTAGGAGTCTTCATGTTCTGTTTCCCTTTCTGATATTGCCCACACATTTCTTCTCCCTCTTTTCTATTCCCTTTCACTATTATTTATATTCCCCAAATGAATGGGACCATATAATGTTTGTCCTTCTCCAATTGACTTATTTCACTCAGCATAATACCATCCAGTTCCATCCATGTCGAACAAATGGTGGGTATTTGTCATTTCTAATGGCTGAGTAATATTCCATTGTATACATAAACCACATCTTCTTTATCCATTCATCTTTCGATGGACACCAACGCTCCATCCACAGTTTGGCTATTGTGGACATTGCTGCTAGAAACATCGGGGTGCAGGTGCCCCGACGTTTCATTCCATCTGTATCTTTGGGGTAAATCCCCAGCAGTGCAATTGCTGGGACGTAGGGCAGGTCTATTTTTAACTCTTTGAGGAACCTCCACACAGTTTTCCAGAGTGGCTGCACCATTTCACATTCCCCTCAACAGAGTAAGAGTGTCCCCCTTTCTCTGCATCCTCTCCAACATTTGTGGTTTCCTGCCTTGTTAATTTTCCCCAATCTTACTGGTGTGAGATGGTATCTCATTGTGGTTTTGATTTGTATTTCCCTGATGGCAAGTGATGCAGAGAATTTTCTCATGTGCGTGTTGGCCATGTCTATGTCTTCTTCTGTGAGATTTCTGTTCATGTCTTTTGCCCATTTCATAATTGGATTGTTTGTTTCTTTGGTGTTGAGTTTGATAAGTTCTTTATAGATCTTGGAAACTAGCCCTTTATGCTTTCCTTTCTTTTTTAAAGCTGAAATCACTTACACTGTTTTTGAAGATTCATTCCTCTCCTAAAAAGAAACTAGAGTGTGGCACGTTTTTTTTTTAGCTTCCCCTTCTCAATCTCTAGTGTCAACCTTCGTCGTCTGATAAGAAGTATTGATGTTCTTCATTCCAGAATCGCTTTGTATAGCATTAATTGAAATCAGTAGCAATTCACATAGATACTATAGATGGAGATATTCCATGAGTTCAAGAATAGTCATTGGATCACTTAGGTCACTAACAAATGAACTCTATGCACAAGGAATTTGTTCTTTCTCTGCTATATACCTTGTTACTGCAGAAACTGAGTCTGACACATAGCATGCTTTCATAATTTTAGGTGAATGATTTAATGTACCTTATGTATAATTTAACTCAGTTTGTATTTTATTATTTTTTAAAGGAGAGAAAATTTTAGGCAATAATGATAATTAACAGGCTTACACTGCAACATCAGGATGATTCAAATTGCCCTAACTCCAGTGAGTGTACTCAAGATAGAACCTATTTCTTCATTTAAATAATCTACTTCTCTTTCTACACTCAAAACCTATTTATCTCTTACTGACCCTTTTATACAATGCAATCAATAAATGAAGTGTCTTTTAATATTCATAGTATGAATTTCACCCATCTTTTTATACACATATTAGAAATTAATTTATCTGTCCAATTTTTTTTTGTGCTATGTAGAACCAATTTTTGGAGAAACAAATGCCTAAGCATAGAGACAAACCAATAAACCAACTTTTTGTAAGGGAAAATGGTATCCTCCCATTTCTGTGCCTTGAAACTGCCATAGGGCCTCTAAAAACTCTTTCATTCAACTTTTCATTGCCTTGTCAGTACTCCTTTCTCTATCTCCTTTTCCATCAATCAGTCGCACATCAGTAGCACAATGTTCAACTCTTTATTTGCGTTAACACTTCCAAGATATAGAATATAATAATATAGTAACAGTAAATTGCTCTCTTTTGTGGTGATTATGAATTGGGAGTTGGATGTATACTAGTTACTCTATCACTAGTATATGTGAGCATGAATGAGATTCTTTGGGTAATGGAAATCTCAGGAGTTTGCAATCAGTCAACCTCAAAAAGGAATTCTGAAATATCCAAATAATGGATGACCCTTCCACTCCTAGGGAGTGATTTCTTTGTGAGCCACTCATACCAATCAGTGGCTTATACAAGGAA